ATCCTCCTAAAAAAAAAAATCCTGCTCTGCTCCTGCCACATTTTTTTTTTTTATTTTCCTCTTTTCTGGCTCTTTTACTCACACTCAGAAAAAAGCATGGCAAGTTTGATGCGGCCACGGTCCCCCAGCTGCTCCAGGTCCTGCAGGATTTTGGAATCCCCCACACACCTGACCCAATCCAGGGCTTCTGCAAGGTGGAACACACCCTGTTTCCAAAAAAAAAAAAAGAAAATTAAATCAAGAAAAAAAAAAAAATCATTAATAGACAAAGCAAAGCCCCTTCACCCTCTGCTTCGGAGCGGATTTTTAAACAAAAGTGTAAAATAAATGGAAATATCCAGATCTAGGGATCAAGGCAGGATTGAAACAGGAAGAATTCAAATGGTAGAATTTGATTTGGGAGCTTTTGAAATGATTGAAAAATTAAATAAAGCCCCTCAAATTTGATTTAGAAATTTCCTTGTGATGACTGAAATCATCAAAAAAATATAAACCTTAAAATGTAATTTAGAAATTTCCTCGTGATGACTGAAATCATTAAAAAGAATAAAATAAAACCCCTAAAATGTGAATTAGAAACTTCCTTGTGATGACTGAAATCATTAAAAAAAAATAAAATAAAACCCCTAAAATGTGAATTAGAATTTTCCTTGTGATGACTGCAATCATTAAAAAAAAATTATAAACCCCCTCAAATTTGATTTAGAAGCTTCTTATGGCTGTTGAAAAATAAGGTTTAAAAATCACTTGACTAAGATGAATATTCCCAAAAATAGAGCAAGTGGGGAATCCACAGTTGTGTTTATTCTGGTTTTTTTATTGCTCCTACAAGCTGCAATGTTGGTTTTTAAATTCATTTTTTTTTTTAATTTTAGCTTTGGCCTTTAACACACAGCAAGGCCCCAGAATTTTTTCCAAGTGGGAAATTGGGATTAAACACAGGGAAATTCAGGATCTTCACAGCCCAAAATTGATAAACTGGAAAATGTGATGAGAGTTCAATTCTATAGAAACTGGATTTTAGAAATGAGAAAATGGATCAGGAAATTTCTCTCCAGGCTGAGGAACTGCCAGGAAAATCTTCAAAACAATTCCAGAAACTCACATTTTCTATTCCACTGCCAATCCTCAGGATGCCACTGATAAAATGGGGGATGTTCTGGAACAAGGATAAAAAAAAAACAAAAAAAAACAAAAAAACCAAATTAAAAAATCAGCTCTTGGGATGTGATAATTGGAATTTCTGCCTGCTCAGAACATTTCCTGTTCTGCTGGAATTCACCATCACTGGGGCAGCTGAATTCCAGATTTTTGTTGGAAAATAAAAGTTGGTATGGGAAGAGAGAATTCCTGGATGCTGTGAGATCTGCTTAGGAAATTCAGCCCCTTGTGCAGCTCTCTGAACCCCAAAACCCAACTGAAATATCCAATTAAACCATCCCAAAATCTGCCCCTCCAAATCCATTTTATTCTTGGATGTACAACCCAATCAATGAAAAGAAATTAAAGAAGTGTTATCTCTAAATGTATAAAATGAAATGTGTAGCTTGGGGTTGAGCAGAGAATTTCAAGAAATGAAAATAAGAAATGTTTCATGATTAAATTTAAAAATAGAACCCCCAAGAAATCCTTTCAGCTGCTGAGATCATTCCCCACACCCTCCCCTCCACTGCTCTGCTTCTGTTCTAAGTCAGCAGCAGCAGAAAATTTAAAGTAACATTTGTTGAATAAGGGGGAAAAAAAAATTATTCAAGTCATTCATCCACCAACTTTATTGCTGACTGCAAATATTTCCTAAATTATCCCAAATAAAGCCTAAGCCACAGTTTCTTTCTGGAAAGCTGCAACTCAAATTATCAAAGAATGTCTTCATTCCAACAAAAGGAAATGTCTAATTTAGGATATAATCCCAAAATGCTTAAGGGACAGATTTAATTAACATATATTTGAAATGTTAAGAGAAATTTAAAATCCAGGACTTACAACAACTTTTTTAATTAAATCAGCAAGGGCTTCCAAAACATTGCACATACAGATTGTCTTCATGCCACAGGTCATAAACAGCAGACTGTTGGAAAGCAGAATAAATTATTATTTAGACAAATCCCAAGGTGTTACAGGGTCTTAATTAGGAATATTGAGGGGGATTAGATCTAAGGAAGAAAATGTTTAAAAATTCACCTCAAGGCCTTCAGAGGAGGAAGGAGAACAATGATAAGAATTAAAAAAGAAGAGCTGCAAAGGTTTTGCTGCTTTTGAAATGTCAACATCTACAGAAATACTGAAATACCCCCCAGACTTCATCTTCCCAGATTCCCAAAGGTTCCAAACTTCACCTTCCCCAAGGTTTTCAACTTTCACTTTCCCAAAGATTCCAAACCTGAACTTCCTGAAGACTTCAAATTTCACATCCCCCAAGATTCCAAATTTCACATCCCCAAAGATTCCAAAATTCAACTTCCCCAAAGATTCCAAACTAACTTCACATCCCCAAAGATTCCAAATTTCCCATCCCCAAAGATTCCAAATTTCCCATCCCCAAAGATTCCAAATTTCCCATCCCCAAAGATTCCAAATTTCACAACCCCAAAGATTCCAAATTTCACAACCCCAAAGATTCCAAATTTCACATTCCCCAAAGACTCCAAAATTCAACTTCCCAAAGATTCCAAACCTGAACTTCCTAAAGACTTCAAATTTCACATCCCCAAAGATTCCAAAATTCAACTTCCCCAAAGATTCCAAATTTCCCATCCCCAAAGATTCCAAATTTCCCATCCCCAAAGATTCCAAATTTCACATCCCCAAAGATTCCAAATTTCACATCCCCAAAGATTCCAAACCTCAGAAACTCAGCCTTAATATTCGTTTTGTTGTTTTTTTTTTTTTTTTTTTCCTGTGGATTCAAGAACTTCTGACCAACTCCAACATTTCTGCACCAGTTTGAGCCCTACTGGAAGCAGCCAAGGAATTTTCACAGGGATCAAGGAAAAGTGGGAAGATTTGGAGGAAAATCCCCTCGGGAAATTTGGATTCTCACCCATATTCATCCATGAAGGAAGTGCTTTCCCTGATGAAGAGCAGAGACCAGAATATTCTGACTTTAATCACGTTGCAATATTCCCTTAATTTTTCCACAGGCAGACTGCACCACACCTCACAGAGATCAACTCCTGTAAGGGGGAAAAAAAAAAAAAAACAACAAAAAAAAGGGAATTATAATGTACAATTCAGGCATTCCAAAGTGCCAGCAAACACTAAAATCAAGGATTAATTCAAGCATTCCAATGTACCAATAAATATTAGAATCAATCATTATTTCAGGCATTCCAAAGTGCCAATAAACATTAAAATCCAGAATTATTTCCAGCCTCTATTCCTGACAAACCAAACCAAGGGAATCTCAACACTCTGAATTAACCTGGTAATTTGAGAAGGTTTTTAAATGGATTATATGGAATTAAAAAATAGGGAGCTGTTGGAAGGCTTTGAATTCCTGGGTTCTGAATTGAGAAATTAAGATAAAAATGGATAAATGCAGCCTTCCTGCTGAGCTGAAAAGAAATGTTCTTTTCCAGGGAAAACATCAGCCTATTCCAGCTCCATCCATGAATTATTCTGGATTATAAAACCAGGGCAACTGGGCAAAAAGCACCTGGGTTTGTCCCCAAAAGCCACCCTGATTCAGGGCTCTCCAAAAGCATCCTGCACTTCCCAGAACCAGGATGGAACAGGGAGGGGAAGAGGAAAATTAAAAATTAAATTGGCCCATTGAAGTGGCTTCAGGTCCTCTGGAGGAAATGAAAAGGGAAATTCAATTTATTGGGGTGGTTTCAGGTACTCTCAGAGCAGGGCAGCATCACCTGAGGGTCTGAAAATACACAAAAATTCACAAAAATTCACAAAAATACACCAAAATACACCAAAAATTCACAAAAATACACCAAAAATTCCCTTTCCACAGCTGTTTATCTGCTTATTCCCACAAATTAGGAGGTTGTGCAGAAAATACAATTTTGAATTTTAGCCACCTCCTTTTCTGCAACTGGGAATTTTTATTTTACTATTACTGCAAAACTTCCCCTGAAAAAAAGAAAAAAATCAACTGGAAATTGTCTTTAGACCCACAGAGGTAAAACAGAAGCCTTGAATCTCATCCTCATTGCATTAATTGCCTGCATTTATGTAAATATTACTGAGTATTTAAGTTAGATTGGGGAAAACAGATGAGAATTGTTCTAGGGTAAGAGAATATAACAAATGTTTCTGCTCAGAAATAAGAATGAAATAATTTTCAGGCAAAAGAAGGAAAATTAACAGTAAATAGCAATCCAAAGATCCAAGAAATGGAAGAATATTGGTTTAATTTCCATACCTGTTTTAGGATTAGACAGCACTGTCTGTCCAAAGGTTCCATGACCCTAAAGATAAACACATTATTTACATATTTACACATAATGTATTTATATATTTACCATTTATTATATTGCACAGCCAAAAAGTAAACAAATCCAAGCCAGGAACAAAGAAAGTATTTTGTTTTGAGAAAAAAAAAGAATATTAACCTGCATCCCCATTACAAAAATGGCCAAAAGTTAATGGTTATGAATAGACAAGAAAAGCTTTACTCATTTAAATAATATTTTCAATCACACTAGAAAATGAATTAATAATTCAAAAATCAGGCAGCAAAATCGTGTTCAAGAGTACCTGACTAAACTTAAAGGTTTAAGAAGGTTACACAGGTTTTTTTAAAAAAAAAATCAAAAATAATAGTTACATTTTGACACTGAATGTATGTAAATAAATTTAAATCTTTATTATTTATTATATTATATTTATTATTTAAATAAAATCATCCATAGGAAAATAAGAGGAATTGATTTACTATTTCATGTTTCTTTTAAGGGGTTTAAATCCCATTTGAGCACCTCAAGTTGAAGAAGAAATGATTTATTCTGATTTATAGATCCCTACAAATTCTGTTATTTTAACAAACATCATAAATGTGTGATTCAATGAACACTCTGTATCACAGGAAAGGCTGCATTATCATTTCACAGCAATGCAGAAATTATAAAATTCATGTACTTAACAGGCCAGGACACACAATAACAAAGAGGGGAAAAAAAAATCAACTGTGAATTAAAAATCAGCTCATCTTGAGAGACAACTGACAACTCTTAAAGATCTTTGTTTTTCCAGCAGCAAACACCCCAAAAAAATTCTTCAGTGATAGAAATAAATCCTGAATGGAATCACAGCTCTACTGGTACCAGTCCCTTGGAAAGACAGAGCTTTACAAAGGAGAAATTCAATCTATCTGTGCCTTTAATTCCTGCCTGGAGAGGACAAAGGGACACTGATAAATAACTCCTGATGAGATCTGCAAGCTGCACAAATATGGAAATCAGGGATTTTTCTGAGATTCCTCAAGCACAGCAAGAAAGGGACAATGAAGAGTCAAGGAAAATATTCCTGGAAGTATGGAAGCAAAAAAGTGCTGCAGTTTATCCAGAAAAAGCACAACAGGAACTGAGAGGGAAAATTCATCAGGAACTGGAGCCACAGCACACAGGGAATGGTTTCCCACTGCCAGAGGGCAGGGCTGGGTGGGATTTTGGGAATCAGGAATTGTGTCCTGGGAGGGGCTGGGATGGAATTCCCAGAGCAGCCCCTGGATCCCTGGAATGTTCAGTTCCAGGTTGGACATTGGGACAGTGGGAGGTGTCCCTGCCATGGCAGGGCTGGCACTGGGTGGGATTTAAGGTCCTTTCCAACCCAAACCATTCTGGGATTGTGGGATTAAATAAGCAGAGCCTTACTGGGCACAAAGAAATGCATCAAATTGGAAGAGATTAGAAGAACAAAGAAGGGACAATGCTGCAGCCACTGTGCAGAGCTGA